ATAGGTCACCTTATATCGCCTTAAGTCGCCTACAGTCGCCATAAGTTGCCTTATGTCGCCTTAAATAGAAAAACAATTTGAGCAAATTTTCCTAAAGTTACGGCAACTTAAGGTCCCTTCGCCTCAGTCCTTGAGTAATTTTGCTGGGAGGCTCGCTTTTGTAAATTAGTGAGTCAATTGGACTCTTTTCAGTGGGTTGGTTGGGTTGTCCTTTTAGTTATCCACTAAAGGTTTATTTTGACGTTTTGGCTTTTTCGCCTTTATAATTGTTTTCAAACAAAGTATTCACTCCAGCAGATATTTACGTGCTGTTCATCAGATGACCATTCCCAGGCCCAGCTTCGAAGTTCGTTTAAACAAGTTGGTATTATTATCAAAAAGTGAACAGGTAGCCGTCAAATGGTTTGTGTACGGACGTGAGTGCCAGCCCTTCGTCAGCACGCAATCATACCCTTCGATTTCTTTTTGTTGAAGGACTAGCGTTTGATGCATGAGCTGTCGTATTTCTTCATGTGGTGGTCACTAATTCACATTCCAACCATTTAGTGCTGATTTTTTTGTTTGCTTATTCGCTCTTTTTTCGCCTTCAAACCAAGGCAGGACCGCAGTTATTTTTCTAGAAATAAACCAGTTTATTCGTTTTACTCAACAGGTCCACCAATGGTACCTATGCTAAGTGCTCTTCCTCCTAATATGGGATCAAACGGCTCTGTAAATTTGAGTTGCAAGGCCAATCAGCTAGACGCTCATCAAATGGGTTCTTACAAGTGGAAATGGATGTTTAACAATGGAACAGAAATTACAAATACATTCGGGAAGTATAAAATACTCAACGCGTTCTCATCCCTAAATTCCTGTCAGCAAAAGAAAGGAACCGTTTCCCTTCAAATTGAAAATTTAACCAGGGAAGATCTTGGAACATATAAGTGTGCACTTCTTGAGTCTGACATGGAAATTGCCGTAGAGGACGTTTCATTATATGGATATGGTATGTTCAGTGCTCTTGACTGTACCTTGTGCGGATTTGACAACAAATCTAATTCCTTGATAACTAGACTTATTCCCTATCTTTTAGGCTGGGAGCTTTAATAAAGACGGTCGCCCCTTCAAGTTAACCCTCGGACGTACAGCGGGGGGGGGATGCCACCCCCCTCTGACGTGTGTGAACGTTTTCCTACAGGATAAAACATTACCACCTGACGTTTTCAGTAGCTGTTCGTTTATCTCTCGCGCGCTTTTGAGACAAGTTCAGTGATGGTCAGTTACTATGGTTACCAGATATGACGTCATAAGAGGGTATCAATGAGGTTCACCGCTAGGCGTAAAACCGCCAAAAATTTAGTCGATAGACGTAAAAATTGAAAAATTTTAACCGTTAGCCGTAAATAGGGTAAAAAAAGAGTTAACCGTAAAAGAAATTGTTCCGTAGATTTGTTAATTTTAAGGAAGGTGATAAAAGTCACTTATGGTTGCTTTTTTTTTTTATTTCCCGTCTACTTTGGCTCCGTAGGTTCCATTTCCGCTGCTCACTCGAAGGAACCAAGTTTTTTCCGTAGGGAAAATCTGGCTTCTTGCTGGGGATTAATATTTGTGATTTTAAGGAGGTCTTGCCCTCCAAATACTAGTGAAACAACACGCAGAGATGTCACTGTTTGTAAAACTCGTTGCTGATAAACAAATTAACAATTCCCTGTTTTTCTCTGACGCTACGGTAGATATTGCCATGCCTAGTCCCTGTACGGCGTCTTCCCACGCAATCTCGGTCGAGGCATTTCGGTGGCATACCTGAGGTAAAAAAACTTGCTCGGACCACGTGACCCGGAATGCATTAGCGGCGCGGAATAAGGAGGCCTACCGACAAGTCACGGCAGACAGTCGTTCTGTACAGTCCTTTCTGCATCATTAAAAACACTGGACACGGGAATTTGGTCGTTGGCCGTTTTCACACTAGAGCTAGAAAATGGATCATCCGTCTGAGAAAAGCCTGTGTACAGTCGCCCCCTCCCCCACAGACACCCCTTTTCTGTTTTTTCTGAGGGGAGGGGGCGGCTGTACACAGGCTATCTGGAACGGATAATCCATCTTCAAACTGTCCGTCAAAATTGGCGGATAAAGTCAGGCAGATTGTTCATTCAAAATACTTAAACATATCAAAAACTCTGGGGAGGAGTTTCACCCACCCTAGGGCTAAAAAAAAAGATTTTGGTAGAAGAAAGTCCCAAAAAGCCCAAACTGGATTCAATCCCCCAAAAAATGTGACAAGTGCAGCAAAATCCAAACTTAGTCTATTAAACTACACATGTGAGAGCTCATTGAATTTGAGTCTGTACAGGGGCAGAAGATGTGCAAGACCTGTTGTAAAACACGATGAAAAATCACGGCTACCCTGCTATACAAAACAATCCGTTCTCCTTTACTCCAATTTCCAACATTAGTCCTTTGTCCGACTAGACGGCCATTTTGTCCCAAGAGATTAAAAAAGCTTTGTATTTGCACGGCTAGCCGTGCAAGTACAAAGCTTTTTTTAATCTCTTAGGACAAAATGGCCGACGTGTGACAAAGGTCTATACAACCAGACGTTCTCCTTACAGCCCTAACATACTGTCTGCCGATGTTAATGCGCTCGTTTTCGTAAAACTGTTTGAATTCACTTGAGCAGATATTGAACTCCTTTAATAATGGTTTATTTTCAGTAAGCTCTGACGTTCCACCACGTCCTAAAATTGTAAAAAATAAGACCTTTGACTGCGGCCGTACGATAGAAGTAGAGTGGAAACCGATAATAGGAAGTGGAGTGACTGGATATGAACTCATCATATTATCAGTAGCAGATGATTCCAGGCAAGAATTCCACCTGTCAAACGAAGATCATTCCAAGAAGCTTGATGTCCAAAGTAACAATCTTTACGAAATACAAATCAGGGCAAAAAATGCGTTGGGCTATAGTTTTTGGACAAAACGTCAACTGGAAACGAAAGCAGGTACTAGTTAAATCTTAACAAAAAGGTCATTTGTTATCTTATGTGGCTTTCTTAGTCGCAGTTTATCATATAAATATCGTGTTTGCGCTATGAACGAGGGCATGTCACACTTTTACAGCATAATTGCGCAAGCTCGCATTGTATCTGTCGCGGTGACTATTAGATAGATTTAGACTGACGTTTACGACAAAAGGAAGCTAAAAACAGTCCAACGCAGTTGTTATAGACATAAATATCGTGAAGCTACCACCAATTTTGAGGTAGCAGTAATAAACAGTTAAGTACAAGTAAACGGGAAACTTGGAAACTTGAAACTTTTGCTTGACCATTGTGTTTTGTCTTGGGACGACCGTAATACCCAGGACAAATTAGAAACAATGGTTATTCAAACCTTTGGGGGGATAAACAAGGTGCTTTATGGTTTATGTAAAAATGGTGAATTACGTTTTTACTTGCCCATATAGATATTTCTCGGATCTAGGTTGTTTTTTCGGAAATCCCTAAAGGGAACCTGTACCTCAGTTGCCTCAATTATGGATTTGAACAAACTCTGTGATCGCGTGTTGAAAATAGTTTTGGAAACAATGTTTTAAGGGTCATAAAAACAGTGAATAAACATGCTACCGACCGTAATTGGCTAACATTTAAAGAAAATGATGAGGTCTGGAAATGCAGTTTCATCTCATACTGGTTTGATTTGGGATTCGTTCGGCCGATTTCGAGAAATTAAAGGAGAATTTGATTAGCCTACGGTCGGCTGCTTTCTTTACCATTATTGTTTATAATTTTTGAAGGTAGTCCACACCTACAAATTTGGCGGCAATTTAAAAACCGCTTGATCATTTTTAACATAAATTAACAATCCTGAGATTAATCATTAATTTATATCGTCTCCAAGTTTCAAGGCCATTGAAATGTAATTTAAAGGGGCTTCAAATGTCACTAATTTTCCCCACTCCTCAGATTTTGTGTTTAGATATTCTCATTTACCTTATTTTCATTGGTACGGAGACGCCTCAAAACGACTGGAAAGCAATCAGGGGTCGTTTTGAATACAAGTTAGGTTTTTGCTAAAGCGAGATTTCAGCCAATCAAAAAAAAGTGGAGAAATATTTTGAACGAATAGTTATTTGACTTGTAAAGTTACTGACTGTCAATATCATTACCACCATGAAAGGCTTTCTCTTCTAAAGTTACTAAACGTTTGACGTCATAATCCATAAATTATCATGTTATAAAGCCGGGTGTTTGACGTTCCTTCCAAGGATCTCATGATCGTACGCAGCCAGATTGAAGGTACCCATTAACTGTAGGTTGTATTGGGATATCGGCATGTGATTGCTGATATTGTATATTTCATTTCAGTAAAATCCAACCAGTGGTCTATTATCAATGCTGCGTTCTGATTGGTTAAGCTACTACTAGGCTATATGTTATAGCCCACTAGTAGCAAAAAGCGCCGGCAATTTGGTGGGCAAAAAATGATTAAAGTCTAGCTTTAACTAGCTAAAGTTGTGTTGTCTCGATATTTTTGACCAACTAGTTGGATTTTACTAAAACAATTATTCCTCTCGCCCTCATGCCTCTGAGTCAATAGCCCATTCCGGCTCGAGGAATAATTGTTAATTTTTTTTTTTTTTTTTAATCACTGATTGATGAAGATCTATCTATACGAATTTCTTTTCACACCTGAAAGCAGCTTGGAAGTCACATAAGTGATTTCTTATGTGGCCGCAATATTCAATTTACGAGTATTTACTCTCCAAGAGGCGTACCATACTCTTGAAATATTTTTCCGTTTTAGGTGTACCTACTTCATTTGAAGTATCAGCCAAGCCTCACGGTTGTTATGTAGCTCTTTCGTGGAAGACCCCGTCAAATAATTCTTGCCCGATAACCCGATACACCGTTCACTACAGGCAACCTAATCAGTTGACAAAGTGGCAAAGATCAAGCTTCGGAGCGCCAAACGAAAACAAATATCGTCTTAAGCTGAACTGCAGCAGCACCTACGACATTATGTTCTTGGCATGGAATGAACGTGGAAGCAGCATAAAAGATGCCAAACTGCTGAATGTGAAAACAGAGGAAGGTATTAGAGTTAAGTGTTTATAAACCGCGTTGGTTTATAAAGATTTCGCCACTGAGAATAAACCGACGTTTCTTACTGTTTCTTTGACTTTTTCTTTGTTTCTCTGTCTTCTTCTCTGCACTATGAAACTGAGATTTGTGAAAATCCCATGAAAATCACTTGAAAATACCATGAACATCATTTCATGGCCAATGAATCTTGCAAAATAATTTTTCATGACCTCATCTGTGGCCATGAAATTTTCGTGGAAAAAAAGTTCAAGGTGTTTCATGGCCCATGAATTAAACTGGACTACTTTCATGGGTCATGAATTTCCAATGAAACACCACATTATGGAAACATACCAAGAAAGTTCAATGATGGAGCCATGAAAAACGTTTAATGGGCCATGAAATAAATACTGAATTTGATTTGTGAGTCATGAAAAATGTATGAATGATTTCATGGCTCATTAATTTCCCATGAAAATGCTGATGATGAAAGCAGTGCCACTGTGAATTAATGCCTTGAATAAATATTTAACAACTTTGCAGCAAGAACACTGCATTCCATAATATTTACAAAATGTACATGTATTCAATAAATGAAATAGTACGTTTTGGGTTGTACTAGAATTAGCTATACACTAACGAAACTAGTACTTTGGGCTGCACTATTAACAGTCAACTTTCAACAAGACAGATCCACTCTGAGACCAGCTAGCACAACATCTTAAGTTTTTGTCTATTGTATCAATAGTTAGAGAAAAAGACAGACACATGTATGAACAGGCTCCAAGTACCTCTTTAAAGAAAGTTGACTGTACTGTACATGTATGTGCTACTCAACATGAATTAAACATGCAATGTACAATACCATTCAGATGTGTATACTTATTATAAAAACATCTGAATACACTGTATATAAAAAAAACCAGCGAAATTCTATCCATGCATGTAGAGGTATACGCTATCTACTGCATGGTTCGATTATAAAATGGTTTCATCTGCTCAAGAGAAAACAAAGGAGTTAAATATTACAACTTGAATGAACCAACCTTTACTTGCTGTGTAGAATGCTTTTTCAAATGTTCTACTGAAGTACCCTTAATGAGGCAGAGTGTGGTCTTGTATCAAAAAAGGAATATCCATAAAATAGTCTTGAATCGAGATAAGATCACGGGGTCAGATCATCATCTACTTTCTATTTGTTAAACTGAATCACCAGTATAAAAACTAAATTCTTCTGATAAATCTTTAACACTCTGCAAATTATGTAACGTAATCAATTCTTGTTGAAAATGATTTGGATGATTTAAGTGTAACTTACTTGATTAAAAATACAGTGTTCAGGCCGTTTTATGTATTACACACAGCACAAAATGTAAACAAGATTTTTCCTGGCTTTCATGATAATGTTAAAGCTATCAAGTCAAGAGGCAAGAGCTGGCCTGGGTTGAAAAGTGCATGCTACATTTCTAAAGTACAGAAGTACAGTTACAAATAATGTTTCAATAAAGAGGCATCTTCAAAGGCCAACAATGCTATTTTATTGAAAAAGGTAACCAAAATTTAGCAACAACTGTGACTATTGTACATTTTGAACATTATTAATAGTTTATGGTAGTACCCTGAATTTTCAATCCATTTTAACATGTAGAAATACAGTCATGTACTTGTTGTAAACATACACTTAGGAGGCTAGCAAGACATTTATGAAAAAAAAGTATATATATATATATACAATGCAGTGTTGAAGGTTTAAGTAAATCCAGTTTACATGCTAAAATGTGTAAATTCTTAGCTGCATTTGTTGCCTCCCATAGCACTGCTTGAACCTTGGTAGTAAATTTTCCTTCTGTTTGAAAACTGAACCTGTCACAGAATGATTAATATCACAATTAGCAACTGAAAATTTGCTCTAAATTAGAGGTTCTGCAAATAAGACGTAGGTTCACTATTTCAGTAAGACTGAGTGGAGTCCAATTTAGTCTGCAATCATACATGTACAAGTGTTTAACAAAATCAGAAAACTGTGTAGCAGGAGTCCAATTTGTTTAATCACGAGTACAGCTGTACAACACTGTATGAATACTGACTGAATTAGAGGACATGAAGGTCTGTTAGACTAATGATTAGTAATAAAAAATCATTAATCCTAACCTTTGCAAAAGAAAAGGGAAAAGGTCAACACATGGACAGTTGTATATATGAGCCAGTGCTAGTGCTTTTGTATAAATTGTGACTAAATAAACTCGTTGCTTGTTGATATATAAATTGTGGTCATCGCTGTACAAAACAGTCAAGTAAATAAAAAAAAAATTGAAGAGTTAAATTTTGATATCAATAATACATTGCAACGGACTAATGTCATGTTGAAATATTGTGATCAATGTCTCTTTTACATGTAGTACTGGCACCTATCAAAGCAGTCCACTCATCTTCATTACCACGAGCCAAACCATTTTATAAGCCACTCTCAAATGAAGCTGTATATTTATCAACCAGAACAGAACTAAATCATAGGAATTACATTGTATACAGTGTGTAAAATGAACATGCAAGTGCAGTTTTGGCGATGCAAGCATAAGCAAAAGAGATTATAGGTTGGTGAGGATGGCCTTAACAGAAGCACAAGAATAAACACAAGAATAAAACGTAAAACCGTACCTTGTGGAGAATTGTTTCTAGCTTTGCCGCTGAAGGGTCCAGTTTGATAAATTATCAAATCCTAAATCCTAATTATTAGGATTTCCGTACGGCCCCACTCATACATTATGCTTGCAGGAGCCATTTTCATACTATTTTACACAAACAGTTGATGTGAAGGGAATCGAAACATAAGACTTAAGCTTACATGTAAGCTTAAATGCGTAAAATATGATCTGAATATTGCTGTACGGAAATATTACACGTGCAGTGTATGAGTATCTTGTTAGCTTTAATCTGTTACAATGCTTCGCTACATATCGTACCTCACTGTACACTGTAAAGACTGGTCCATCTTCCGCTTTGATGTAGGTGACGATCTTTTTCCTTGTAAAACTATCACAGCACTGTAAATTCCCTAAAAACTCGCCTTGAAGTTGAAAATGATGGCTGTTGATTACTCGATCAAAGTTCGATTGGTTTTTGGCGCTCACGCTGTAAAATGGTCAGCAGTGATGCTCGAATTAGAGGCGCGGTCGCAAGGCAAACCGGTTTGAGGGCGGTTCAAATTGAAACTAACGGCTTCGCTAGTGTTGGGTTTTGTTCGCTCTGATTGTAAGTTTAGGAAGAATCTTCGGATTCAAAACATGTTTTAACCTTTAGCGCAAAAGTTTAAGAAACGTCACTTGTTGCGCGACTGTGAGGAACCATAATCGATCGCTTTTTTGGGTAACATGTAACGAAAACTTCGCACCGCTGATATCAGATCATCGGCTGGATTCGGTAAACGATTTTAGGTGAGTTTTGTTTTTAATCATTCTTAAGTAGTGCTTGTTTATTGTAGATTACTTGCTACTAAAGCGAAATAATCATAGTTTCGTCGTTGTGTGCTGGGGCACAGTCAGACAGAGCCGCGATTACAGTTCAAGTTGATCATGATGTAAGAAATATAAGCTTTGCGGAACACAATGTGACAGAGGCTGTGCATGGTCTTTGTTAAGTTTATTTTTACCGAAATGATGTTTGATGGGCATGACGATCCTTTTTTCAAGCGACAAATCAGTTTCTTCGACGAACGGATTCACTCGGGGGAAGCCATACAGGGGTCATGACCTTGATCAGAACAGAAATGAAAGAAGTAAATTGTTTAGACACCGGATGTGCATGTGACCAAAATAAAAGTCTTGCTTGACACAAAAAGTCTCACTATTCTAACCTTGAAATTGTTATGCATGGGTCAATTCCAGCTGCGCCCAGAGTTATAATTTATGTTATGAATAGTTTTATAAATATGAAAGGATGCTTTTCAAATAATGTCAACAGAAATTTGATTTAATGACCAAAAACGCTGATTCACTTTGATAGCTCCAGATTTCGCTATGTAATTCTGGCTTGATAAGCAATGAAGAAATGCATGCATGCATAAAATCAAGAACATGCCTTTACATGGCCTTTGAGCCAATCTGTTTTCTTTCCCAGTGAAATCCTTTGTGTAGTTATATTCTGATAGGAAACAACGTGTGTGTCAAAAGCTCGGGAATGGCTGAGGGGTTGGCAAATGCCCGGCCCCCGGGCAGCACAAAAATTTGCAAATGCCCCAGCCCCGGGACTGACAAGGCGGGCAAATGCCCTGCAGTAGCCTGGGGGGGCGCTGGGCGCAGCTGGAATTGACTGATCCATTACTCCGTTGTTCTGATCATTAAGCACTAGAGCATATTATTTTCCTTCAAAGTAGGGGATTCTTTTTTTAATAGGGAAGAAGTTTCAATCTTTGTCTACACTACTGTATCTGGCTTAGCTAGGGTAGAAAAGTTGAACTACAGTATGCTATATATCAGGGTTCGCAAATACACCAAATTTGGCGTATTTTACGCCAAAATTGTTCAGCTGACTCCACAGAGGTCACTTCGACTCCAGAAATTTTCGGTAACAAACAGGGAGCCACTTCGACTCCAGAAATTTTCGGTAACAAACACAGTTTTATCCTTACCTTTTTTGCAACAAATACAATTTACGTTAATTGTTAACGTTGTAAACCTTAATTAAATCATCAAAATTAAAGAATTATACTGCACGACAAAACAGGAAGAGGGCAAATTACGATCAAAGTTTACTCGATGACCGCCATCATGGATTTGAGCTTTCCAGGTCAGCGGACCGCCACAGCTACTTTGTGTATCCATAACGATAGTGTATACATGCTAGGACCACGTGCTGGAAAGTCTGAAAATGGCTTTTTTCGTTGTGATACTTGACTCCAAATATTCCAAAATGACTCCAAAATTTGTGAAGCAGAAGTCACAGTGACTCCACTCATCAATAAAATTTGCAAACCCTGTATATATGGTTGGCTCTGCTGATGGAACTGTTCAAAATTCATTCCAACAAACCTGACAACAGTAAATTACATGTATGTATTAAAGCAGATTGTTTACAATCATGCCAGGGTAAGCAGGGATGTAGCCTGTGTACAAGCGCCCCCTCTCCTCAGTAAGAATCAGAGAAGGGGCGTCTGTGATGCACCATTGGTAATCGGGTATGGAGGCCACGTGATTTTTCCTGGAATATGTGGAAAATGATTTGATTGGCTGTTATTTGTAGATCATTACAGTGTGTACATCATGAAGTTGAGGGATTTTGATTGGCTTTAGGGCCTGTCATCAAAACTCAAGCAAAACAATAATGCTAGGGTCACGTTTCACACTATCATGAGCTCATGAGTCATGTCTGACTTGTCAACACTTTATTTCAAACTAATGACTTCCCGTATCCAGTGGGAAGGCTTGCATAAGAACATGGATCTTTTCCTTCAATATGGGCTCGTAAGAACATTTTTCTTGCTCGGTATAGAGTAATCCTATTTTAGAAATGTGTCACTCTCTCAGTTACTCGATGGAAATAACACGCATGCACCGACATTTTGAGAACTGGAATGACATGAAACATGAGCCATGGAAATTTTGGTCAGTGGAAACAATTTTTTTAATTTATGCAAAGTTATTCCCATTCACGATTAGCAACAGGGAATCACAGACGCCCCTTCTCTGATTTTTACTTAGGGGAGGGGGTGGTCTGTACACAGGCTAACAGGGATGTGGTTAAGAGCTGGCTGCCAGCTAGTTCAACCAGCTGAAAAAGAGCTTACCACCAGCTGAATTTGCAAACCAAACCAAAGACATATGGGAATTTTAGAGACGCAGTAGTGCAAAAAAGCCGGCTTGACCTTTAACAAAGCCTGCTTATCCATATATTTCATTAATGAATCGGTTATTTTAAAAATAATGATATCCTTTTGTGTGGTTTGCGTCATCAAAACCATTGTTTTATTATTTAAGGATGGATCAAATGTTCTACATGAAATCTTGACATGATTCTGCTGTTAATTTTGTTTAGATGTTGCTGCATTTCAATATTCATTGTATCACTGTACTTACAAGATGGATCTGATGGCTGAGGCAACAACAGTGACCAAAGATAAGATTTACATTTTTTTGTTATTGTAACACAACAACTTTAGTTTTCACTTAAATGATTTGTCTTGTACAGCTGTTCATTTGCTATTAGCTAAAATAAACATCTGTATTGGCCTTGAAAATGAGCTTTTTTTATTTCATTGAAACTTGTCCAAACTAAGTAGGATGGAACCCTTGAAATTTGTTGTTCATTTTCAATGGTGAAATTTGGTACGTCATGATTGTAGCCTGGAGAGGAGATACAGTACATGTATTCCAGATGAATTTTGTATTGCAATGACACTTTTTTTGTCATTAATGGCCTTATTTACACTGTAGTACACCATACTAAAGTGCAGTCAAGTTAAAATGCAGACTGCAGACTGTGCAGACTGTAGATTTTTTTTAAATAAGCCCTGAGAATAGTAATTAGGGTTAAGCACTGACTTGAAAAACAGTTAGCTTTTATTTAGGGTTAGGGTTGTTGCTACATGTATATAGCTTCAATTTAACCAGCCAACAAATCCTCAGTGATGTATTTGATTTAACAGTCGAGAGTAGTTTAAGACTAAATTTTCATGGTAGCCATGTCTTTGTCTTTCCCATGAAAAATAAGAGAGGGCCATAATTCATGGGTAATGAAAATGTCATCAAAAGCCATTTCATTTTTTCATGACCCATTAATATTCGACCGTTCACGGAAAAATCATGGTTTTTTTATGGGGCATGAATTTAACAACCCCATGAAAAACCCATAAATTCCGACACCATGAAAAAAGAGCTTTTTAATTCATGGCTTTTTCATTATCATTAAAAAGCCATGAAAAAAAATTAGCGGGTTTCATTCTATTTCATGGCATTTTCATGGGATTTTTGTTTGTTAAAGTTTTTTCATGGGCCATGAAGCGTTGAATTTTAAGGGGTTTTTTCACGCTTTTTTCATTTTATTTTCATGGCATGTTCCCCATGAAATACCAATGAAAATTCCCCATCAAAATCTCCTGAAAAACCTGTGAAAAACATGTGAAATTACCATGAAAAATTTCACTGGATTTTCATGGGTTTTAATTTCATAGTGCTGTCTGTCTGTCTGTCTGTCTGTTTGTTTCTTTTACCGGTGATCCATTATGCGCGGTTGTTAGAGTTTAGTACATGTTCCTTTAAATTATTATGCCATCAGGTCTTTGTTGGCCCAGACCTAGGCAGGGCCTTTACAGTTTCAAAGTACACTGAAGTCAGTCTACACGGAATAGTTCCTTATAAGATAGCGACTTATGTAAGTAAGATTAGCTTAGAATGGCAATATTTTAGAACTTCGTCCGGAATTGTAAGTAGTTAGCACACTCGAAATGTTGCGCCCTACCTTTATCGGCAGCCTTACCAGCTTGGCTATTAGCCTGTGCCGTTCTATTTTGGAAGGGTTCCGCGAGAACTGCCCCTACAAGGTCCGATTATACAGCATCTAAAATACAGCCTGCGATAACAAATATTCTCTGGCTTTTACAAAGCCCCGCCATCACTGGTCAAATCACAGCCCCCATTAAAGAATAAAGCCATTATTACAGTAGGCTAAGATAGAAAAATACGGATTGCGTCAAGAACCAATAGGATTCGGTTTGAAGTTTTTAGAATTTCATTTAGTAAAAAAGACGGACAATTTGTCATAAGTTTCTGTTATCTTAACTCACACCGATGGCACGTTTCATTGATGTTTCAATATAAAAGCACTCACTCATTTCATCATAGGCGTTCCATTCAAGCCGAAAACTCTTGGGGTAAAAAAAAAACCGTGCGGAGCATTTGAGGTCACTTGGAATCCACCAACCCTAGACTCTGGTGGCGGTCCTCTCACTGGTTATCAGGTTCAGTTAAAGCAGAAACTCTCAAAGTTAATAATGGAAAATGGTGGCTGGCGCAACTGCACGGCCTTCTCTTCAAATCATAGCTGTTTGTTCAAAGACCTGCGGAATAAGACAGAGTATCAAATTCGAGTCCGTGCTTTTAATAAGAAGGGCCCGGGTCAATGGGCAGACATTGCCGAAACTACGGATTTAATTGGTAAGTATTCCATCTTAATATTGTTGTATTACACAAAAGTCATGGTAACTTTAATTTGTGGTACTCAATCATTATAACTTTTTTACAGCTCCCTTTTAGATTTATTTCTACTCTACGTGTTTACTTCATGCAGTTCGACATTCTTTCCTCATCGTTACTCCCTTCTTTTTAACAATACTTGCATTCATTTTCTATTTAAGTGTACCTTTGAGGGTGCTCATTTATATGTTCACTCCTTTGTTTTCCCTACCAACTAATTGATTTATCCTTACCGACAAACATTGTTTTGTTTTGCTGAAGTAATTAATCTATCAGGTTATTGTAGGACCGCCTGATGTTTCCGAAATAATAAACAATGAAACAGAAATTCCTGGAAAAACACCCAATGTTACAGTGCAGTGGACACGACCAAACGAAAGAAACTGCAGCATTACCATGTATTCATTGCGCTACAAAGCAGTTCTACCTGCTGCCGAGAAGATGACGGAAATAAATATCACCAATGCCAGCGTCACCAGTTTCGAGCTACAGTTCCAACACAGTAAGAAATATGAAGTCACTGTCCTTGCTTGGAATAACTTGGGGCCCAGTGAGGCAAGCAAGGCATGGGATATCAGCACAAAACAATGTAAACACACTTTCTTTGGTTAAATAATTTTAATTAAAATATAGAGAGAGCCATATTTCTGTTGCTGGATGGACGTGTGTGTTTGAGCGTGGGCAGCCGCCGTGCTTTCAAAAGGTCGGTGAGCTAACCCACTTCGAAACCTGAACATATATATTTTACGTTACTTTTATAACATAAAAACACATTCCTAACCAATCTGGATTTTAATCCTGTTGAGTAATTACGGAAAGATAATGAGTCCTTTGATGTAGAGATTGTGATTATTCCTATAAGACCTGGATTTCAGTGCAATTTCACATCGGCCAATGGTACTAAAACTTACTGAAGAAAAAGAAAGAAACTATTTTACTCCATTAAATCTCATAGGCAACATAATTTAACGTTGCCCTCCTTTACCTTAACTTATATTCATGACAACCGACTGTCACCAAAAAAGGATCCAAGAAGGAAATAAATTAAAACGTTTACTAATAATTAAAACAAACTTTCCTGCTTAGAGTAAATTGTGATAAACATACAGGAAAAAGCTTTTTTCACTGTGAGTGATAGAAACCATATACTAAGGATGACAAAAGTAGTAGCAGAAAATATGACTACTTTCTACATAATTTCTCTCACCGTATTCATCTCAATTATTCCACATCAGGATTTTCTCAGGCAGGAGCGTAGATATATTTCTTGAAAGTATTTGTATACTCAATGATCAACGTTCAGCAGTCTGCTGTTATCATGCAATTTTTTTTCTTTTTTGGTTTGATTAAAATAACTTTCACTTTTGATAGATGTTCCATTTCGCGTTACGAATTTGCATTATAAAGGAGGCTGTGGCTCCATCAACGTCACCTGGAATGCACCATCACGTGACGCCGAGGGAGGAATAGTGACAGGGTACCTTGCACAGATAAAAGAAGTCAGTTCTAAAGAACCATGGTTTAACTGGACAACAAATAACGTTTCTCAGTCAACTCAGTCATGTCTATTTACCCAACTTAAGAAAAAGCGCGAGTATCATATAAGAGTAATGGGGCAGAACAACATGGGATATGGTTGGCCTTCTGAGATGTCAAAGGTATCTACGATTCAAGCAGGTGATTAGTGACGAACTTTTGTCAAGTGTGACCCAATTTGTCAAACCGAATCCAGATCCAATGACTGTCTCTCCACGTTCAAATTAAACTTGTAAGGATTAATTGTGTCTCGTGGGTTGGGAGGTTGCTCCTCCTATCTCAATTACAAACGAAGCTCTCGTAAGCGATCGCCTTTGTAATTCGTAAAAGTCCTCGCACTCCTAGGGCTGGTCTAGATTACGAAAATCAAATCGAAATCTCTTTTTGAAACAACCATGTGATAAACCTATTGGGGACGGTCGCTTACGATAACGTTTCGCAGAAAGGTTAGTACACGTTATTAATTGCCCATACATTCGTTTTTTCATTACAGTATCTTATTCAAACTGTAATGGGATATTAGAGCCGGAGTTATGTTATGTATTATCCCAAGTTTGATTACAGCTATGATTCTCTTATTATTCTTATTATTGAATGAGTAGTCGCAATCAAACAAGCCATAGTCCGGCGGTATAGGTAGAAATTTCAGGTGAATTCTGCACTTTTTGTTACAAACATGAAATTTGGCACACTGATAGTGTTCACCAATACTAGCATTTTCAGATATAGTACCAGGCTGGAATTACGTTGGTTTCCATAGAAACCATAATTAATTAAAATTCATGAAAATTAACTTAAATTCATTTTTCCTAGTCTATCAGGACATAGTATCATTTCAATCGGTGATAGTACCAACCTGTTTACCACGTACATCTTGTTTATCACACGCCATTTAACCTTAACTATGTATTGTCATGGCAACGGTAAGCAACAGAAAGCTAAGACTACAACTAATACCACTGGATAAAGTTAATGTGCATTTAGTTGGTTTGATCAATATATGTAAAACAACTAACATCTTTGCACATAGCTTCGTTGCCTAGTTGATTTCACTTTTTCGTTACAGAATATACTTAAGGTGCTTCTCTAGTTCTGCACTGTGCACCTCTCACTGTGCCTAAGAAGATGGCCACCGTGAAAAAGAGCTTTTTAGCTCCTGCAGAAACATCGATAGAAGAGAAACTTTAATGGAAGTTTCCATAGCAGTTTTTTTCTGGCTGAGATGAGCTTCAAAGTGTTGAAAATCTGCATACGTATCATCCTCACCAAGGTCTTCGATAGTCGATGCTGGAGGGTCTGGATGGGGATGTACAAAGTCAGTTGTTAGTTAAAATTTTGGTCATTTGTCAGTTGTTAGTAAAATCTTAGGCTTTTTGTCAGTTGTCAGTTAAATGATTATTAATAATTAACTACGAAACTTATTCTTGTTTATTTTTTATCCGAAATTTAGCGAAAAAGGTACATATAATATGAATTAAACATTAAATTCGAAAACTTATACAACAGTGCTCCATTTCTCAAGTCGTGTGTTACTCTCCTCCGCACAAACGTTTTTGCTGGCCAGAGTCGATAATTTCCAACCATTAAGCCAATCAAAATTTATACCTTCAGAATATCACTGCTAAGATTACCCATATCAACGCAAATTTGATCACATTGTCGGGCGAAAAGAGTAAAACAATGCTATCAGTTAAAAGGCCTTAAGAACGGGTTTTTAGAAAATAAAGCACAATTAGGTTCTCTGCAACTTGTCAGTAAAACCCAGGGCAAATGTCAATTGTCAGATAAATTTTAGGCTATTTGTCAGTTGTCAGTTAAAATTTGTCAGTAGTCAGTTAACTCCATCCAGACCGAAGGGTCAAGGGACTGGCCAAATAAATTCTCTATAACGAGGTTTCGTTATATCGAAATTGTTTTTTTTATATTTTCCATTGCTGGGGTAAAGAAAATCGTTCGTTATACCAAGGACTTCGTTATATCGAGGTTCGTTATATCGAGGTTCCACTGAATTTTAATTCATGGTTTCAGTAACAAAAATACTTCATTTCGAAAAAAAAAATGTCAAAAAATCTATGTTCAGTATTTTGTCAATTCCATGACCAGCGGAGAGAGAAGTTGTATCACACACAGTTAGGACATAGAAGACAGGTAGAAACTTCGATTTGAATGGAACAAGAGCCTTTTCAGAGAGATAACTGCCTAGGATGTTGTGAGGTTTTTCTTTCCTATAGGACACCCAAAATTCCTTCAAGTCTAAATAGGCCTGTTTCTCGAGGCTCCAAGATAGTGGGGAAAACGGAGCGAGAAGAAAAGGGCGCATGTTCGAATTACGACTGATGACTAGTGGTGTTTTTCTAGTGTGCTTTTTCTCCGTGCGAACAGAAACCTACTCGAGCGTGTCCATTGGCTGGTGTGGATTCCTACAGTCATTTTTCTTTTTCATCATGCGATCCAGTTGCATCCTGTTGAACGCGTCTCGACATGCCCTATGCCACATAGCAAACGACTTGCTAAAGTGGAAGCAAGTCCATTTCCCACGCCAAAATATTTTCATTCCACTGCTGAACTTAATTTCTCCGCCTCACAGAATGGCGTTAAGTCTTGTTCAAAAGTAAGGTATCCAGCACGAGAATCGTTCGGTCTCTAGTTAACAGGACACTGAGGTTTTTCAGTTGTGTCCTTCTGGCAAATAACACATTTAAAACAGTCAATAGCTTGAGGAAGCGACCTGTTTCTTGCGCCCTAGCTAGAATTAACCTATTTCTTACTTCCTATTTTTAAACCGGCATTTTTCTCTTCTATATAACTAGAATAGTTTCTTTTCTAGCTGCACGGAGTCGCATGCACATTTAGAATGAGATATTGCAAACTCTTACCATCCGAACCAAGAGAAAGAAGAGAAAAAGTATGTGCAGAAAAATTCCAAATTACAGCCTGGATTTATATAATAAAAAAAAAGTAAATAACAATTCGCATCTAAATTTAACATCTGTATTGTTTTACCTGTATTTTGAAATAAGACGTGCATTAGATCTAACCAAAAAAAGCAAAACAAACTACTTCGCGTGGGGAGGTCTCGGGTCTGATAATTTCATCTGCTGCTAATTAGCTGGAACTAGAAAATTTAACTTGGCACTATATCAGGAATTGACCAGCCTGTGAATGTAAAAAATCAAAAATCAAAAATCGCATGATTCTCTAGCTAAGCCGCCGTTAACTGCCAGAGGCGGTCGATCACTTCAAGAGCTTTTCGTTACATAGCGTTTTTAGTAATAGTTCAAACAGTTCTGGTCGTAACTACAGCTGGAGAGCTTACTAGAGTGGAGGCAAGGAAGCCTCGACTGGATCAAGGATTTGGTTAATAATCGTAGCAAAGGACAACCTGGATCTCCAGCTGCTTTGACGCCGACAGCCATATACGGCTATAGCTTTCAGATATCCCACGGATAAAATTAGCTCAAACATTTTATTGAAAATTTACATTTGAATTTCTTACTGCTATACCTTAATCTGAAATTATGATTTAATAACAAAAGTTGACAACAACAACAAGATACGCACACGCTTTAAGATATATGTTGGAATGTTCTTTTAGCTATAGGGTAATACATTTTCTCGTCTTCTTATTGCTATGTTGTGTTTTATAGGTGCCCCTAGCTCGCCCGTGTTGGACATTATATCGAGCCAAAAAGAAAATGAATGTGCTGTCTTTGTAAGGCCCCTGGAACCACTGTCAAGTGACTGTCCTGTTGTACTTTTTTATACAATAAGCTACAGACGGCAAGGTGACAATGAATGGACCAGATTGAATATTACAGAAAGCACTACCAAAAGCCAGATCAAGATCGAGACAGAATATTCTACGGAATATGAGTTCCAGCTTGTGGCGTGGAATAAAGTGGGATCAAGCCCCATTACTAATAAGACGTACACAACGAAAGGGAATGAAATGGCATCAAGCCCCATTACTAATAAGACGTACACAACGGAAGGAAATGCAACAAAGAATAATGAAAGAGGTATATATGTGTTGCAGTAAATTTTTATTTCAGTTAATTCTAATGTCTCCTTTGTTTGAAATTAATTACCTTACATTACCATGCTCAAAAACAATAGGAAAAAAATTAACTTCAACATAGCTTGCAAAGTGTCAGTGGTAATCATCGTATAGAGCGTTTTCATATGACGACACGGTGGCGATATTCAGTGTTCAAAAACAATGAAACAGCAGCCTCTTGTGGGAGTAAATGCATTTGATGTGTAAATGCTTCCTTTTCTCCAATGAATTTGCATAAATTCTGACCACACTGGTGAAAACGCTAAATGGCATACATAGGAAATTTCAGTATTTGTCTCAAGAATGAAATACAAGATGATCCTGCTCACATTTCTATCCATTATATTCAAGACACTATATATTTATCATCTTTCTAGTAAAATTGTAAGATTAAATTTACTTCTAAGGACGAAATGCAGTCCCAGGGAAGTTGTGGCGTAATTCTTTTCAGCTACATGCTACAATAGTTTGTATTTTCGTTTTATGTCCGGCATACTGAACACAACGTTTTCCTTTAAAAGTAACCATATTATCTTGTGACACCCGTCGGTGCGGGATTACGGCGTCTCCTCAGGTTGGCATGACCAATACTGTGATACACAGTGTACTTTATATATTGATTGTTGATTTCAGAAATATCCAAAAATTTATAATTAAAGAGATTCTCTGGGGGAGAAGAATCTACAAACGTGACGACAATTAAAACTCAAACATCAATAACTAATCAGAAACGTACCGTACAGGAAGGTAAGACGCTGAAAGGAAAAAAAATGTTATATTTAAAGTTACAGGTATCTCGTTGGAGTTGGTACTCATCTATACCTTCGCTGGTTTACTTTCAATCATGGGAGCTGTACTGCTGGCGGTGTGTATCAAGTATTACAGAAATACAGGAAGACGTTCCACCAAGAGGTGTGTAGATACAATCTGCTTTAAACATTCCACCTATTCCTTTTTCATATTGAAAGATGCAACCGTACCATACCTGTATACTTGCTTGTAAATGAGCCGTCTCAACTCATTTGACGTGTAAATGGACCTTTAGAATGCATCCTTTGTTGCTGCCAGTGAGTGAGCCTGAAGCGAGCGAACCAGGCAGCTCTCTAATCGGCAAATTACATTATGGGGGGCATTCAATCACCTTTCCTTACCAAACGCAAGGAATTGTGGTTATGCGCGACTCAAAGATTTAGGATGCGCAATGGACTCGTAGGAATTGTGGTTAAGTGCGAATGGAAGATATAGGATGCGCAGTGGACTCGCAAGGAATTGTGGCTGTGCTGGAATGGGAGATTTAGACCCTGTTTACATGGAGTGGGGGACCCCGGTCTAGTGGGCTAGGTTTCTTTTGTTTTCACACTCTAGGGGACACAAAACAAAAGAAACCTACCCCACTAGACTGGGGTCCCCCACTCTATGTAAACAGGGTCTTAGAATGCGCAGTGGATAACCACGTGCTTTCTTCTTGCACTGATTTTCAACTTCAATTTGAATAATTTGCAATCTCGTTCAAGTATGGAAACAAGAGGTCTAATTAGAAAACAAACAACTTTGCACGTGCTGCATACTTTTGCAGTTGGCCGACACATTTTATAAGTTCGATATTTTGACTACAGTGATCAGGGTTAAGCACTGAAAATACTAATTTAAGCATTAACCATACTGATTAGGGTTATGCCCTGAAAATAGTAATTAGGGTTAACGGTTAGCTTCTATTTTGGGTTGGGGTTTACGCTATAATATTTGTATAAAATCACCAACTTGCAGAGAAATCACGGTGGTGTAGTGGTTAGATTAGTGGTATGCAGACCCTATGCTCCGGGATCGAATCCGCTTTTTCCGAGTGAATTTTTTTCCTTTAAAATTAGAGAGACTTACACTTTGACAACATTTGTTGATCACAAACTAAGTCTCTCAGTCTATTCTAAATCGACGTATGATAGTTTGGTCTGGCTGAGATTCTTCGATTTGTCAAAATTATTGAAAAAAAAATATCGGACTGCCGGTCATTTAGTGTTTTGAATATCTTGACAGGTTACCGGCCATATAGCCGCTACCTTTATTGTTTTCCGAGCAAATTTCCTTCTGTTCTAAGAGGGAATCACACAATGAGCATTAGAGCTACAAACCCCAAATTTATGTGTAATAGTTATCAGTAATTGGACATAACCGCCTTCCAAATTGTTTAAATTGGTGTTTGATTCGTGACATGGTTGGCCAAGTTAATGTTGTGTTTTCATTGTCGTTTCTCAAACCTATCTTGTAGCGCAGATCACTGTCGAACAAATTTCCTTACACTTGGCAGATAGAATAAACATTCTCAAACTCAAGAATTTTAAGTTTCGTGGAGATCGCACGATTTTTGTGCGAACAGAAAGACTGAACACCATCGTTAGAAAATTTGCTCTTATCTTCAAATCAAAGCTTCAAAATAAATTTCAGTCATTCATTTGAAAGCGAGAATGATTGAACTTACACATATCAAAAATCGAGAATTATTTGGCCACTTCTGACGCGACGCGAGCACATTAAAAAAAAAAAAAAACTAAAACTGGCTCACAATTATGTGAGTCACCTTAAACGCGATACTCAAAAGGAAGATATAATAATAATTTCTAAATGTAGATCATCACTGACAAAGATTTTGGATAGCCCTCTTAGCCTCATATCACCTTCTACTAAAAAGTTCACACTTAATTTTCCATTTCTTCACTATTCCTTGCCCACGGCAGCATTTCTACCCTTAAGGTATACTAGTATTGTTTATAGTCAGTAAAGCAGAGCTTCCACGTGGAAGTGAAGTTGTGGATCGGAACACCACGGATAAAATCTGGTAAACAAGCGATGCTTAAGTTTAAAATTTGTTCGGTCAAATTTTTCCATTTCATTTAATTTGGCGTTCTAGGACTACAAGGGACATCCAAGTTTTGGAAGGTTGTGAAATTCCTCCAATCCGAACAGAATTTCTTGAATTGTTGGGTGAAGGAGCATTTGGAAAGGTTCACAAAGCTACACTAAAGGACGGTATGGCGTACTTTGAAGACGAGCGAGACTGGGCTAGCAGGCCTAGGAAGCAGAAAATTATTGCGGTCAAAGAGCTTTTTGGTGAGTTCAAGTGTGTTAACTTATAGACGTTTTGCTTCTCTTTGCGTGGTGACGATAGTAACCATTTATTTAACACCAGCCTTGTTTCCAGAAATGAAGGCCGGCCACATGTCCAAAAGCCACTTGGATATAATAAATTAACGATGCATGAAATGGGAAATCAAAGCTTACGTTATGCGGGATTTAAGCGGCTGTGTAACAGTCAGAAATCAGTAAGGGTTCACTGGCCGAGAGATCCAGGGGGCGATCGGGGCCTGTTACATCTTTGCCTCGACGGTAACCGCCGTTACGGTGATCGATGATTTGTTTTTCTATTTTTTTTAATTGTACCCACCTATCGGCAATTACTTGAACACCTATCCTTTTTGTCCCCAGAAAATGCTAGCGAAGAAGAGAGAAAGGAATTTATGGATGAAATAGAGCTCATGAAGAAGGTTGGGAAGCACCAAAATGTTCTGAGTTTCTTTGGTTGCTGGACCACAACTAAACCAATTCTACTCATGGTAGAGTATATCGCTCATGGAGATTTGCTTCATTGGCTTCGACGTAAAAGAAGCCAGGTATCAAAAATAAGGATCAGGTGACAATGCAATTAAACACAAACATTCCATTTTTTCGTACCTCTGTTCAGTTATAGGTCTGACTGAAATGTTCTAACTAGCGAAAACAGAAATTTCGGCTCATTGGTTCTTAGTGTTCTTACCACATTCTGGTGCCTTCGGTGATCTATATCTAAAGATGCGCGACAAATCTTGTCGGTGAGTCTTTGGTAACGAGAAAAAATCTACCCTTAGAAAAAAAAAAAGAAAGAAAGAAATGAAAAGGAAAATAAAGATAGACTGAACTTGTTGGAGAAGAAGTTCCAGAAAATACCTAAGCCAAAGAAAAAAATCACCTCGACCTCTTTTCTAGCATTTTACAAGAACGTTTTTTCACAGGAAGCGCCAGTCTGTTAAAAAGCAAGGCTAACAGTGTTACTATTTCCCTGAAGGCCAGATATTTTGTATATATAGTAAGATAAATCAAAACGAGATCCTCGCTGTCTTGCTTTATTGCTTTTATTTTTTTATGTCGCCTATGATTAGATAAGCAGTTCTATGATAAAAGTCACACCGGGGGCTGCCAAAGACAAAGAGCTGTATGCTGGGACACCAACTTGGAACAGACTCGCGATTGGCGATCAGGTACATAGCAGCTACTTAAAAATAACATATGCGAGGAGCCATCCCTACCCAATCCCACAACCCGTAAAGGTTGGCCACACCACCGGGGTCTACGACCCCTACTCTTTTCGAATAGTGATGGGGGTTCTTTTACGTCTCACAAGAACAAATCAATGTAAGTGCTGTGAGACGGGAACTACGGTTTTTTGTCCTTTTCCGAAAAGACTAGAAATGCTAACCATTTGTAGATGTCATTACAAAGGCAGCACTTTCTTCTCAGTTATTTAAAGACCCTGAGTGTTGGTTGAATCCGCGGCCTCCCGCTCGGAAGACCGGCGCGCGCGTTCTCCCAACTGAGCTAACCAGGCGGCGGTCTTAAATATTTATTTCAGTTATAACATTTATTACTATGAAAGCTAATCTTTAATCAGTCGAGAGAACGACTGGAGAACTGACAATTTGACTAACAATAGACGACTGTTTAACTGTGACAATAGACGGATCGAAACGCACCAATTGCTGATTACGAGTCTTCATAGCCAATAACATCACGGCTTAACTGACAGACGACCGATAACATCGCGATGTAATTGACCAATCAGATCAATAACCAGAGTATAAAACCATCAACTGACACGATACAACTCACTTTGACTCTGAAGATGACTATCTACCGCACAGGTTGTCGAAACGTCAGTCACTGTCAACAACAACAGTTCTATTCAGGACTACGTTCACCCGGACGATCAAACTCAACCTACTTTTGAAAGCTAATCTTGCAAATTACTTAGAATTTCCTTTTTTGGTGAGCCGCATTAAATTAAGGATTATAAAGAATTACTCCTTAAGCAGTCAAAAATTGGTTTAAGGTGTTTCGATACAGTTCTTGTAAGACCATAACCGACATTTTTAAAAATATAGCCTCATTAAGGCAAAATCGATATCACTATGTTAGCAATAATCAAAAACCTCTGAAATCGATAAAAGCCGAATTGAACCTGTTGCTGAAAATTTCGACAGCAGAAAATTAAAGGTGCGCATCAATTTGGAAAAATAAGCATAACGTTAAAACTGCAAATTTTGGCCGTTTCGTAGGTTAGGTTCGTCTTGAAATTTTCAAGTTGTTGCATTGCATCGATCAAGTTTCATACATTATTATTTAGTATATACGCACTCAGTGATCTTAGTGATTTAAGCAATATGATTGGTTCGCTGTCTCAGACCATTCAACAATATTCACCTCCCAGCGAGTGGATAATGTGTGAGCTCGGTGTTTTTCCTATTTTTTTAGAGAACGACCTTTCAAAAGTCGACAAATTCTCAGGCTTGACCTTTTTAAGGCAAGAAGAGACTTCGAAGGATTCAAAACGGCTTTTTCGTCCATTTACCTGAATTTTGTGCTCGATGGTATGTTAACAACTCCTGTTTATTTGCATAGAAGAGGCCGTTTCGTGAATTCAGCGTTTCCTAACAAGAAAAAAACTTTGCACAAAAATGGAAGTCTACATATGACAAACAAAAATGAAAGCAAATGTTTGCTGAACTTCTATGTTTCGAGTTGAATACGACAAAGAATGCTACAGGAAAACGACGCCTCACCTCGAGCAACCTAGCCGCCTCACTCGCCTTCGTGCGCAGAACGGCACAGCAAACAACAAACAACAAACTTGGTGAGTTAACAGAAAATAGCAAAGTTCCCTTTTCTTCTCAGGTAAGGAAACAATTCAAACTTTTAACGGTTCCATTTAACACAATTACGCTGTCGTTTGCGAAGTGATAAACTTGCGAATTGGCATACTTGAATGTTCTGCGAAGAGTATCTTTCGCGCATGTACGTTACATGCAATTTTTTCACGCTAGCTCTGTCAATCAAATAGTACTCTTTAATGGTTCCTTTTCTGAATTCGAAGAGATCACTTCGTGTGTATATACTAAAACAATTATTCTTTTCAATCTCGGTGAGTATTGGCTTTAGGAATATGTACCTCGATTTCAAAGAATATTGTTTTTTGAAATTCATTCTATTACTTGGCAATTTAAAACAACCAAAAAATCATTCAGACTGATTAAAATTTTTTATTTGACGCCCGGCAGTAAGTGGTTCCTAGAAGCATTTAAACGAGTCTTACTTTAAAATGACGCCAATTTTAGAACATTTTTTCAGTAATCTGACTACGTGAAGTTTCAAGCCGGTGTCATTTCAGTCTAGAAATTTTAAAGTTGAGTGAACTGCAGCCAGAAAGTGCCTTAAGGCTTTCATAACAACTTAAATAGTTAGCAAAACACTACTTTTTTCGCGGTCAAATATATGACAGGATTTCGCAAAGAATAGACAACAGGCTGATTATAAAACGTAGTACTCGTCAAATTTCGAACAAATTATCACCTTCTTATCTGCTAAAACCGGCCTATGGTTTAAAGCCAAGAGCCCGCTGAAACTAGACCTAGATCCAATTTTCATGAGCTGAGAACTGATTTTCCAAGGCAACACCGACGAAATGTTTTTATGGCTGGCACAGAATATTTTGGTGCAACAGCTCAACCACACGACCATATACCTGAGTTCTGCCTGTCAACACTATGCGGAAATCACACAATCACACACTTTCGCGGCACTGATACGACTATCCAAAACCAATTTTTAATGTGAACTGATGACGTCAATCGTGCAGCGAAATTGCCAGTTTATTGAACGGTTAACTGAGAAGACCTGGGGACGAGCTGGAGTTGTTTTGGCAGTGAATACACAATGGCGGAACATTTCACTCGTTTCACGAAGAAGAATAGGCGAACCGTATTGGCTAAAAACATAACAAAAACAACAAGAAGACAACTCGACGGACCACATCTGCTATTTGGAGAATATTTGCAGAACTGAACAACCCTTTTTCTCCGAAACCTGCCGATAATTATTCACTATCGAAGATGAACTCAACATCGATGAAGGTAGGCATGTTTAGCTTGTTTTAAACTAGGAATTATTTCCGCTTTCGTTTCATCTGAAGAATTATGGAGATCTCGGGGGGTGTTATCCGCGTCGGCCGTCCTCTATCTCCATAATTCTTCAGATGATACGAAATCCGAATTCAATAATTGCTAAATATTATGTTATGACTGAACAATCTAGGATGAGAGGTCAACTGAAACGATAACAGTTAACATGGGAGCACCGAGACTCACAACGTGGTCTGCTTTTGATGTGATGGAGCAAAACGACTGTTATGTTAATCGTAAAGAGGAATGCAAAGTCCCCATGCTGGTATCTTCGGCACCAAATCAGGTACATTTCAAGGTTTTTTAATCGTAAAAAGTTCCACTAAGTCTAACCTTAAATTCAGACCGTCTGGGACTACATTTTATGATTAGTCGACCATACAAGTTTATCTCTTGTCACTACGTCATGATCCCACTTGGTCTTCTTCTTGAATTCGCCATCTTAGAAGACTTTGATCATGTCAGTTTGATCTTTACGTTTTAAAAAGCCAGTAAATATTGGACCAAAACTAATGAAAATAATGGAAAAATTCTCAAGTAATCTTAAATTTTAAAATACTGTACAAAGATGCAAGCAAGCAAACAAACAAACAAACATTTCATGGATCGAAGGAACTGAAGTTGTGAGCGTCAGTCGCTTTTCACCTCGAAACAAAAACTAATTAACGTCATACATTATCTCAAGCGAATAAAATCTAGGAACTATTCAAGACAAATATTTTAGCGAGAACTATTACACTAGACATTTTGGTACCTTCTAAAAAATCTAAGAGCACTCCGAAATAATTGACAACTCAAGACAGTTTTAAATTCTGGTTTCATGCTGTGTATTCCGGATTCTTAGTACTGCATTGCGGATTCCTTGTCAGCGGAACTTGGATTCCAGACTACAGTCTTTAGAGGGGTTAAAGATTCCTTGAACTGAATTCTTCCAAAGCACAGGATCCTGGACCCATCACAAGCAAAAATTTCCCGGATTCCGGAATCCGGGCAAGAATGTCCAACAAAATACTGACTTTGAAAGAGTTTGGTCAACTTTTTCTGATGAAATTCTTGTGTTGTTGAAAGTTTTAGCAAAATCCGATCATACTCGTGCTGTTTTCCCATTGAGAGAGATGCTTGATAACTTTCGTAATAGGAGGTCAAAGTATACGTTGCTATGTACTGTCTAGGAGGTCGAGGAAACAAGCGACGTGCTTGGGACAAATGCTGAACCTTGTACTATTAACATGATGCAACAAGAGGAAGCTGATTTTGAGAGCGAGAATGAATGCAAAATACCCTTGATCGTATTCTCCCCACCAAATCATGCACAGGTAAAGGAAGTTTTATAAGTTATAGACAAAACTTTTATTATATCAGCTCCTCCTCCTCTTCAAAAAATCGTTCTCCTTTTCAAACATTTTTAGGTTTGTAAACGTTCAACGCATTTCCAAAATAATCGTAGAGTCATTGATTTAGATTCAGCATCGCGCTATACAAAATTATCATGTTTCAGGGCCAAAACACCTGAATTGGGAAGTGTTTCGTCAAAGGCATAACCAACAATCTAAGCGCCATCCAGGCTTTTATGATTGACTTCTAACTACTTAGGATGAGGTCATGTTATGCCATCTTTAAATAGCATAAGTTCTTTACGTTTGACTTAAAATTCAGTAGCTACTCATAATGATATCTACAAGTTACCTGTTAAGGGTAGTGTTTCGCGTATAAACATTCTCACTGAATCAATATACGGTAAATCCTCTATAAAGCCCGTCAGAGGATGCTGTGATGTATTATTTTTTCAAGGACGTGTCAGGGGGGTAGTTAGGAGAGGGGGGCTTATTTAATTTAGAAAATAATTATCGATGATATCAGTCTTTGATAAAGGGCTAGATTGCCAAGTGGAAAAAGCTCAAGTATTTGAATTTGGAGGTCAAGTAACTAAAGATCAAGAACAAATTCGAGCTTCGATTCCAGCACGTGAATAAAATAAACCATACCAGTTCAGTACACATGAAGTGCCTTACAGCTATGACTTATCAATACAGTCCATTTGTTACTATGAATTATCACGTGCACTATTTAGAATACAGAGGGCGTTCAAAACAGAACAAATAAATCCGAAGCAAGTGAGGGACCCTCAAGTTTTCCTGACGGCAAGATAGAGCAAAGAGAAGGTGGTTTTGACGATGACGATCAATGCAAAATCCCAATGACAGTGTTCTGGTCGTCGATCCATGAAGAGAATGCTGCACCAAAGGCAGACGACAAAGAGTGTGATAACGATTGTGAGACGTTTCATCCAACTGACGCGATGTCCTTTGCGTGGCAGATAGCACGAGGAATGGTGGGTTGTATCTCTTGAAAAAACATGACCTGTTATAGCGCTGCTGCAGTAGAATTTTCTAATTTTACAAATCAAGTAAAGGTGTATAGTTTTAATTTAAACCTGTTGTAAAGATAGTATCACAGAAAATGAACGTATTTCGGAAAAAAAAAACAAAAACAAGCAACTATCAAGCAACAAAAAAGATTCCATCGTCCGTTAGTTTGTGTGTTGTTGTATATTTTGACATACATTTTTATCAAGGATGACTTTAACTTTTAAAGAATTGAAAGCGAAAAATAGGAACCTTGTTATTGAGGTCCACAATCATGATGGAAATTATTCAATGCGCCACCGACAGCGTCATTTACGGTTTCACGAGTTGTGCCGAATAAAACTGGTACTTTTTTTTTTGACTAAAGAACCATTTTTGGCCTCTATCAAACTAGCAAATTGTTATATCTAATTACTTATCTCATTAAAGTAAATTTCCACTAATTGGGTGTACACTTTTCAGAGCTACCTCTCTGAGAAGGGCTTAGTTCACAGAGATCTGGCAGCGAGAAACGTTCTTGTCGGACACGGTAAAAAACTTAAGATTGGAGACTTTGGTTTGATGCGAGAAATGTATCATGAACTGTATGAAGTTAAGAAGCAAAAGAAACTGCCCATCAAGTGGTTGGCGCCAGAGGCGATTTTTGAGCAGATCTTTACTTCCAAAAGCGACGTGTATGTACTATATTCAACATATAATACAGCCAAGTATAACACCGATTTAACGACACTGTGCAAGTAAGCTGTAAAATTCCGTTAATTTGTGTGTGGGTGTGTGTGAGTGTGCGCCGCTGTTTAAGGCTTTTCTATGACTATATATCGAACTTAGAAGTGAAGAATTCCCTTGAGTGCATTAGTTTCCGCTGTAATTAGTTACGGACTGGGTTGATTAAAAAATGTTCCTCTAATTGTGAATTCAACCGTCTTGTTTTCATTCGATTTCATACCCCGCCATAAGCAAATGTTAAATACTAGAAAAAAAAAACACATTTCGCTACATGTACGCCATGATTTAAACCAATCATAATACAGTAGCAACACTAGTCTTGGGAAGCGTTATTCAAAGCTCTACGTTTTGTGCCCATAATACAACATTTTAGGCTCATTTATCTTATTTTATCTTATATTGTTTTTTATTATTTTAGGTGGTCATATGGAGTCGTTATGTGGGAAATTGCAACCTTAGGTAATAGTCTTACTTTCACTTACTTTCTTTTGCCTCCTGCGTAACTTGCGTATACGTGTATTTATTTATTTACCAAATGCATTTTCGCTCCCCTCCTTTGTCCCTCCCCATGAGAACCACCCGCTTGCGCTGAATCTTTAAACCTTAGTCATCTTTCAACGCCAGGATGGTTGAGCTAAATGATGACTGGCGAGAGGTTTTGAAGAAATTCTACCTGCGAGGGGTTGTTAATGAGGAAAAACAAGAAACTGAATAGATTGCTTTATCATTCATCAACTTTAAATTCACTACATGACTTTCACGAAGCAAAGATTGGATAATTCTATAACCTTTGCAAGCCTAAGGCACGCGTCCTAATTGTTCATTGAAACAACAGATTAGTTTCCATCAGTATCTACTAGACACAGAGTTAAGTGAGTAGATCTTCGCCTGTATTCGATACTAAAAGAAATCATAAGTGGCGAGCCAATCTTTTTTTATTGCAGGAGGTTCGCCTTATCCACTTCTTAACAATGCTGAGGTCATGAGTCTCCACCGAACAGGACACCGAATGCAAAAACCTGACTTGTGTTCGGACAACTTGTAAGCCATCAGAATTCCTAGACATCATTCAAAATATTTTTCGTTTGTAATGACATTATTTTCTCTGCTATCTACGAGGCTTTTAAAAATAGGTTCCAAAATTATACAGTTTTCATCAGAAAAGGTCCTTGTATGGCCGATTCGCTTGTCTAAAAATTAATAAATTCGCAGTTTGCGCTCAAAATGGCTGGACACGGCTAGCTTGCGAAAACAGCTGGCACTCGTCGCTCCTCGTCGCCCCTAGGGACGTTTCTTGCGCGCGAAACAACTTTCGGGTGGGACACGAGATGCCCCTGAAGGCATCATGTCTGTTACTGCAGCAGCCCATTGCTACCCACTTTTGTAAAAACGGGCTTTAAGAAAATCTGACAACACTCTCTAGGGCTGGTATCCATCCCATCCTTGTCCGTCTGAGGGTTAAATAAAAGGACTGTATTTTGTTATCTGTTAGCTACGCCTTTATGATGGACTGCTGGAAACAGAACCCGGATGAACGACCAAGTTTTCGGGAGCTGGTTGAAAGGCTGGAAAGAACCATGACTGAGCAAGTTGAATACCTTGACCTGAAACATTTGGACGAGACTAAAGCGTACTATCAAGTGCAAGAGACCAAAACGGGCGAAATAGGTGGCGACAGCGGGCTTGGCATGCACAGAGCTGCTTCGTCAATTTCAATCGCTCTTTAGGTTAGACCTTCCATCCTTAAACAGCAGCCTGGCCGGGAATGTTCTAGTTAATAAGTAACTTCAAGTCAGTGGGTTTGGTTAAGCTCAAACATTTAATTCTAACTTAAGAGTCGTTCCTTACAAAAGTAGATTGCTTGTGACGGTTAAACCAGTTTTTTTGTAGGCTTAAGTTTTATGGTCGATTTAATTTAGACGTACTAATCGATTTTAAAAAATACTTAAATGCTAACCTGGTTTAAAACAGTTTTTTACCCAAAATAGCGGCTTTTAAATTTGAACGAAACACCCCAAAATGCGTAAGAGAGATTTGAAAAAATAAGATTTAGAAGTGTATCACAGAAAGCAACCCCTAATTGTTTTAGTTTTAATTGCCGTAGCTTATACAAAAGTAGATTTTAGCTGAAAGTCTAAATCTGAACATCCATCCGGTTTGAGGTGAAAAATCTGATTTCGGATTCAATACTGAAGTTCAATATAAAATATAACTTTCACAGTCACGCATTAATACTTTACTAGAAGGTATAAAACGCGTGTGTGTGTGTGTGGTTTTTTTGTCTGCTTTTTTGTAGTTATAGTGTGTGGCCATTCACCTTTTTCACATAGACCATTATGCACCTTCTTGACCTTTGAACATTTTGCATACCTGTTGTCTTCGATTGCGGCTGTAAGACCCAGGAGTAATTGAAATTTATTTATTTATTTATTTATTTGCGGTGGGGGAACAAGGTGCATTATGGTCTACATAAAATGGTGACTTCTTCATTCAGTCTCAACTCAAATTAAATCTCGTGTATCACCTGTGGCAAAGTTAACCTTAAATTGTGTGGAACCGACAAAAATTAAAACTAAGGAATAAAAGGAGTCTTAACAAACCGAGTTTGTCCCTGATGTCTTTTATTTTGTGAATGAAAAGTTCTGAATCAGAGTTTTAAAGCCGGAGAAACATGCTTGTACTTAAGAAAACATTCAGCCACAAAAACACGCTCTTGACTTTTAATTTTGGTCATAGTAATTTGTTAAGAGGAGACTGGTTATGAAAGTTGACAAACATTAAAATATACCTTTTTACCGATACGGCGGCCATATTGAATAAGTTACATTTAACTGTGAGATGCCCAGGAGGCATGAGCACATTCCGTTTAGTATTTAGGAGCGTCTTTTGGGGTAATTTTTCTTTAACTTGTCTTAGAATAAGATTGTAATCGTAAAAAAGATCATTGTACCGGACGTGTTTGGATGTAATAATGATCGCCTTTCTCCGGAGAAATACTAAACAGTGAAAGACCATATTTCTAATACTAATTGAGTACTACGGATCGTGCTTATGCCCCCTAAGTATCCCATAATACTCCTAAAATCGAAGTATATGGCCGCCGTATCGGTGAAAGGGTCTATTGGAAAACAACTGTGCTGTAATTTATGTTGGAAGCTCCCTGACCGTTGACAATCCTTTGTGTTGTTAACAAATTGTGACTTAAAATAAATTAATCCCTAGTTTCTAGTGGTACGTAAGTTCCAAATGACAAGAATTCTGTGCAGGGTCAGCTCCATAAAAGCTAAGAAAAACATATTTCTATTTCTCTTTTCTCTCACCAGTAAATGGCTCCTTCTAGTTCAATAGTTCCATAAAAGCTAAGAAAAACATATTTCTATTTCTCTTTTCTCTCACCAGTAAATGGCTCCTTCTAGTTCAATAGAAAAAAAATCTGGCAACACTTTTAAAACAGCGCGCCACTAGATAAAGGGACTTTAAGATCCAACGGCACGATGGCGACGAGAACGTCGCTTAAAAAGTAAATTTGCGTTCTTCCAGTCTTTATCGCAATTATTCCTACCCACTTTTTCAACGGAGAACCCTCCTGGATCTGAATTCTTGGTGACCATAACAGTTCGCAAACATGGACTCAGGGGATCCGGGTAATCAATATTGCATGACGAAGCATCGATCTTCCTACCCTCAGATAGTCTACTGATTACGCGTGAGCGGTGTTTGGAGTTTTCCAGTAGGCCATTTTCATGATGACGATGTTTGACTACAACTATAAGAATTCATTTCGTCTTTGCTTTCTTATTTAAATTTGTCAATTCCACTGAGGTTTAAAGAACAATAGCCTTAATTTGCACAAGAAAACAGCAAACTGAAGGATTCCGGTAAATGTAGTAAAATGACGACACCGTGCAATTGTCCTATAGAGCGTTTTCACTCACGTGGCCAGCTTCAATGCTATTGGAACAAAAGAAATCATTTACATGAGAAAAGAGTTTAACTCCCTGAGGATTTTCTGGGTACACCAATACGGCCGACGTGACGTCATTAATTTTAATATATAGATTTAGCCAGGGCTAAAAGCGAGGCTCCCATTAGTATATTTATAATTTAAATCAAACAATAAACTTGTATTCCACAATTCAGTTAACTTAAGAGCACATAGCACATTCATGTGACTTTTGAGGGAAAGGCTAAGTGATTTTAGAGAAAAATAATTTGCAAACAGCCCAAGAGTGAACAAAATCTCACATCGAGTTGATAACCTCATATGTACAACCAAAAAATAGCAATCATCTTCGATCACATTTAAGAGCCATAATGGCTCTTGATCACCGTAAGATTAATTAGGCCTGGGAAAAAAATCAGGTCTTATTTTTGTGCGTTCGACAAGTTTACTTTACAAAATCTTGCCAACAAATCTGGTTGCGTGTAACCCAAACCTTTTATACCATTCATACATCACATCTGAGTACTATGGGGTACTGTTTTTATCATACAGACCTCGGACAGAATGCAGTATTTCACAATTTTGCAACACAAACTGCACTCATTCAATATTCAGGACGATCGAAGCAAGCGTGGTCTTTCGGCTAAACCGTTAAAAAAATTTCCAAAATCACATAATACGGCCAGCCGGTTCTCACTTTTGCAGTGCGAGTTGTAGCGAATGTTTGAACGAACATACTAGAGTTAAGCTCCAACATAATAAAGAAATTATTATGTTTATTTTTTATTTAATGGTTTTATCGATGTGTAATCTTTAAAAAGCGTTTGATACGCGCTTCATTTTGAGTACTCCTGCAAGCGATTGAACAGCGGACTGAAAACAAACGGCACAGCGATTAAAATTACAAGAGAGACTACCAACAATCAATAAAAGAAATATAATTCGGCGAAACATATACAGAGACAACATTTTTCATTCACGAAGACAAGTATTAAAGTGTCCCTAAAAATCCTGAGTCTTCAAGCTTAATGCGTAAGTTTATGTTTTAAGCCGGCTTCCAGGTATTTACTTTTTTCAAAGGTGAACTCGAGGCAAGAAAATCGCTCAAAGCTTTCTTTTACAGCCAGAATTATAGCTATATGTTCTTTGGAACGTTTTATTTCTATTTGCGGTGAGAAAATGTCTAAAGACTTTTTAAAGTTGTAAAAGTTTATATGAAACCTGATTCTTTGTCAGATCAAATTGTCTCAAATCCTACAAACGTGCATAAACTACATAGCCGCATAAACTACGCTCGACTTCATTAAATTAGATATAAAAAACAAACATCAAACACAATAATTACTGAGGCTTACCATTCGAGATGCAGCTCCTGAAAGGTATCAGGTAAGGCCAGTATCGCTTCAGACCTTTACGCATCAAGCAAGGTGAAAAACGAAAACGATGCCATCCGAAATCGGATTCTCGACTATCATAAGTGATGTATTAATTTCTCAACCATGAATAACAGAAGACTCCCGATAGCAGCTGAATTTCATTTTGTGCATCCAGTGGAAAAAGACAGTTAAAAACATCACAAATTGACACAAAACTCTGTCAGCTTCAGCTGTCCAGGTAAACAAGATTCAAGATGCTGCATAAATTTTCCGCATGAGCTCACCTGTCAAATTTTGACCAATCAGAGCATAAAAAATGGACGTAGAGCGTGACCAACACATGACCATGGTGAGCAAAGTCAAAAGCAACTGTCTTCCCTGCCTGTAATAGCTGCCTGTGATCAAAATTTTAATTGTACGGCCCAAAAACAAAACATATTTCATATGAATGAAAGAAAAATCAGACTTGAGACTGCGATCATTTGAAAACTAGTAACTTGTCAGCGGATAACTTCAAAAATACTTGACCTCGATGGGTCAACACCTGAGCCCGCGATACGGTCAAGTGATACTGGTCAGCGGATACCCTGTTTTGACAGCTGTCAATTGATCACAACATTGATGTTCAATGGCTGTGTGCATTATCAGTTTTCCTGTGCTCTCAAATAAGCTAGAAAGTATGAGATTGAACATTAATCGTGATCTAGTAAAACAACTGGTCAGCGGACAGCTTCCAAATAAATCACGTCACCTTGATGAGTCGACCCATGAGCCCTCGATATGGCAACGTGATACTGGTCAGTGGCTATCCTGTTTTGACAGCTGTCAACTGACCATATTGTGAATGGCCAATGAAAAAGATGTGGATTTGCCAAGACACGCCTGAGACACCCCTCCCTTCCTTTTGATAGTCTCCCCTACCCTACTCGTACAATCTGTAGACGCGTACGTACGTAGGTACGTACGCTCGGTCAGTGACGTTACAACCATCCACTTTCTGTATGTAATTAATATATTATTTACATTATATTTTGTAAACATTTCTAGTTTGTTTGAATATCAGTGTTAATTTGTTGTATTATATTATTAGTATTAGTGGTATTAGTTGTAACATTATAATTATGTAGGTAAGTAACTAATTTGCTGTATTAATATCAATTTGTTTCAATAAAGAATTATATATTTAAAAAAAAAAAAAAAAAAAAAGACGTTACAACCAAAAGAAAAGAGGTTGACCATATTCTATGAGTATGGGGCTCTGTCCCACGCGCGCTTCGCGCGCGAGGGAGCCCCGCTTTAATTTCATTAACAACTTTTGTTCATGTTGTATAAGGTTTTGTGAGTGACTAAATAAATAAATAAATGATGCAGGAGAGATTTGTGAGTTAAGACTGGACACAGTAACCTGCCTTGCTTCGATTTACGTAGGAAAACAACACCAAACAACCAAAGATCGTCAAAACCGTGTAAAATGGTGATGAATTGAGTCCAGACAACACAGAAAAAGCCACAACCGGCCCAAGTTTACGTAAGTAAAATTTATTTCCACATTTACGCCCATATTTCTAGGTTTTCACAACAAAATCGAAATTCTCATACAAAGTCTTTAAATCGTTCGTAAAATGCAAAACAGTTTTGAAACACGCGGTAATTTATGCACCGAGCTTGGGTCGCCTTTGTCCGGTGTGTGGCTTGCCATTGAAAGAGCTTATAAAGAGGGATATAAGCGATTCCATCTCCAGTTCTGTCGCCTAATTCTGCAGCTGAAAACAGCCCGCTAAGACTTTTTAGTAACTTCTTAGGTAGGCACTTCCTTACCCAAAGCTTCGTAATTTTAATAATTGCCAAACACATTTAGGTAAAAGCATTTATTAAAATAAGACGCAGTTGACATTTACCTGCTTATGCTGTTCCTGTGTAAATGCCAATTCAAGGCATTCTCATTAATGCTAGCACGAAAGATCTTTAAAAAGATGCACGCTTTTTCCAATGTAAGAAATATCAAGGTACATTTGACTTCCTCTTTGTTTAATACTGACACTTTCGATTGACCGTCCTCTGTGAAAAATCAAGCGGGTAAGTAAACTGTAAAATCTCCTGATTGTTCATTCCTAAAATTTTCGAGTACAGTCGTACTGTGTTAATTCTCGCAATACAGTATTATCATTGCAGCGAGGTACATTTTGTGCGTTTATATCAGACTAAACAACAACAACAACATAAGCTTTATTACCAAATAAAAGTTAACTTAATTTACAATATAATATATTAATACAAAAAAAGGTAACATTTACTCCGAATAACTAAAAAGCTAATCGAGCTGAGTAAAGCTAAATAATGTTCAGGCATAGGAGGTAGGTTGGCACTAAAGCTAGAACAAACAAGGAATTAGTGAACAGATAAAAGGAAGAAAATGAAAAAGAAAAAGAAAAAGACTCACGAACAGCAAGACTGTAAGACGTTTAACTTGACTTTGTTTTTAAAGGATTTAAGGGGGAGGTGTTTAATGCTTTCATCAAGGTTATTCCAAACTTTTACAGCCGCAAAGCGAAAGTTGAATTTACCATGGTTTGTTTTGATAGTATTGAGGTAATAGGTTGATTTAGAAGCAAGCCTGGTATTGTATGAGTGTATGGATGCTACCGTTTTAAAGAAATTTTCAAAGGAAGATGGAAGAAGATTATGGTGATAGTTATACACGAGGAGTGCATTATGAAGGGTAACAAGATCAGTTAATTTAAGAATGTTTAATTTCTTAAAAAGAGGCTCAGAGTGATCACCTGGTTCCGAAAATAATAATACGTGTTTCTTTCTTTTGAAGAATTATCAAAGGTCTGAGAGTAGAACTATAAGTATTGCCCCAAATTGATAAACCGTAGGCGAGGAAGGGGTAAATAAGTGAATAATATAATTGAAGTAATATGTTTCCGTTTACATAATGTCTAATTTTAGATAGTACCCCAATACCTCTTGAAATCTTCTTGCTCAATTCGTGCAAGTACGGTTTCCAGTTCAAATAAGAATCAAAAATGAGTCCTAGGTATTTAACTTGGTTATCAGATTTAACAGACATATTGGAGATATTAAGATTCAACTTATGAGCTATTCGTCTTTGCGGAGAATGGAATACCACAAAGCTAGTTTTTTCAATGTTCAGATAATTTGTTAGCAAATAACCACTGGCTCACCTTATCTAGTTCTACATTTAGGTTGGTTTCTAAATTTAGAATGTTAGTATTGTCGAGAAACAGGTTTGTATCATCTGCAAACAGGTGAAAATCCAAAATGTTGGAGCATTTAGGCAGATCATTTATATATAAAAGAAAAAGAAGTGGGCCAAGCACTGTCCCCTGTGGTACTCCACATGAAACAGTTTGGTAATCAGAATCAGTACCATAAAAAGAGACAAACTGTCTTCTGTTACTTAGATATGATGCAAACTAATCATTTACAACACCTCGTATACCGTAATACTCCAACCTGGTTAATAAAATTTTATGATCGACAGTATCAAATGCTTTACATAAGTCTAAAAAAATGCCGCAAGAATAGGTGCCATTATCGATTGATCTCTGTATCTTATCGGTCAAGAGGAGAAGAACATGGATGGTTGAATGCTTTGATCTAAAACCAAACTGATTATTGTATAAAATAGAAAATTTCTCAAGATAGCTAATAATTCTATTATACATTATTTTTTCAATTAATTTATTGAATATAGAAAGCGGGGAAATAGGTCTATAGTTGGAGACCAAACAGCTGGACCCTTTTTTGTGAATTGGAACTACTCTGGCTACTTTAAATTGATCTGGCACCATACCAGTAGAGAATGAGCAATTAAAGAGCAGCTGAAGAGGGACAGTATTCTTAGAACATAAGCAGCTTAAATTGGAATTGAAAGACAGCTTGACAAGTTCGTTATCTTCAATTGAGTGAAATGGAAAAATTGACTTGCTGCATGTCTGGCAGGTCCACCCAAGGCTACTGGACTTAAAGTACTTGTAATCAGCTAGAGTAATGGAGGTGCAATTAAAGTGATAACAAAGGTTACACAGACTACACTCCAATTTCCTCCCATTGCTCCTAATTAACTTATTACAGATAGCACATGGGTATCTACCAGTATTAAATCTTAAGTCATTTTGATAACTATCTTGCACTTAGCCTGGTTGGGAAGATACTTAGTAGTTGTTGTACTGGTTGATTCAGATGTTGATTGTCTTGGTTGCAGCTTTTCCAAATCTATAACTGATGTGATCCGTGACGCCGGGGTGTGCTTGTTAAGTTTCAAATAAATCACTCCATAATATGTCCAAATAAACTTATATTTCTGATCCTTGCGAAATTTGAGGCAACTCTTAAATAAATTTCTTTTCACTTCCGTTAGACTTTCTTGAATAAATATATTGCTCTCACCGTTGCGCCCCAGGCTAATGTCGCTTGTATTATAGCTTTTCAACTTAGATCGAGCTTTGTAAAAAAGGTCACGATTCTTTCGATTGGTAAATTTGACCACTATGGCTGGATGTCGAAATGATGTAGACCCTGATGCTCCGTCGTTACAAGAAGGAATTATATGACTGATCGAAATATCTGTATCATTAATATCGACATCAATCAGCGCTCCAGTTTTCTTGACAGTTACGTTTGTATCCTCTCCAGTTGTCACAGGGACTCCTCTAATTTCGAGACAATCGTGTCACGCGTATTGAGCTTGTTCGTCTATGGCAGAACGTAAATCGCTGATCTCTTTCTTCCACTTTTAGCAGAATCACTTCTCAGGCGCCCGTTTTCTTGAGCTAAAGTCTTCGTTTGTTCTTCCAAGCCTTCCATCTTTCCTTTCATTGATTCAAATTTTGTATTATAGAAGTTCATCGATTCCTCATAAGTCTTCAGCTTTGCGTCCAAGATGGATGACAAGATGGCCGTCAGTTTGGATTCTAAGATGTCATCCAAAATGGATCTCAACATCGCCTCCATTTTAGTTTTTTTCTTGCTTCATCTTAGCAGTTTACCATTCTGGTACAGTAGGTAAATAAGAGACAACGAAAAAGCACGAAAAAAGTTAACTATAAAAGTAAAATTAACAGAGCTGAGTAAAGCACGTACCTACCCATGCTCGCTTGACAACCGCTGACCATCAAACGTGAGCATTCGATTATGCGATGAATTTAACAAAGAGAAACGACAAAGGAATTGGGGTTTTGGCAGACACCTATTGCATATTAGCGAATAATTCTTGCAAGGACCATTTGGAAAACAGCAGCGAGAGAAAGGAGGATCTTGTTGTATATCAGGATCAGCAATGCGAAATATGACACTTCGAAATGAAGGCTAGGGTGATCAAACAGCTAAAGGCCTACAAATGTATTTGCTTAATATTCCGACTAGACCAAACTAGTCTTCATTAGGGGCTAGAAAAGCTAAGTAGTCCCTGTTAAAGACTAATTTTGTCTAGTCGATATATTGGGCACATAAGTTTGTAACCCTTAGCTGTCTGATCAACCTATTGCAAATCCAACCTTGGCACATAATCATCCAAGGGTGTCTTGGACTCCTTCATATGGGCACATAAGTTTGTAACCCTTAGCTGTCTGATCAACCTATTGCAAATCCAACCTTGGCACATAATCATCCAAGGGTGTCTTGGACTCCCTCATATGGGTCGACAGGTTCAAGCGTCAGTTTTTTGTCTTTTTTTTTTCAGCTACGCCCTGATGACGGACTGTTGGAAACAAAACCCGAATGAGGGGCCAAGCTTTAAGGAGCTGGTTGAGATGCTTGAAAATTTGATGCTTCAGGATGTGGAATATTTTGACTTTACCTTGCTGGATGAGACTAAAGATTACTATCAATTTCAAGAATCGAAGACAGGAGAAGTCAACAGTGATAACAGATCTGGGCAGGAAAAACTACCTGCTATTGATCTGACTATTTAGCACTAATTTTAAGGATATCTTGAACGATGTATCTGTTGTCGTGGTAAATGTATATTCATCCCCCTTTCACTGCGCTGCTCGTTCGTTAATAAATGAACTGGGATGTGCGTTTTGTTGTGTTCTGTTATGGTTTCATTTCGAACCTCCTACCGAATTAATATTTGAAAAAAAAAAAACACTCTTGATGTTATTTTTCGAGTATATGGGGGACAGCGGGGATCAAACTTCCAGCCTCCTGGAGCAAGGTTGAACTTCTCAGGCCTCGTTTACTTCGAGAAACGTTGTTACGGTTAGAAGAGTCATCCGCCCTGACCCGAGCTACAATCTTGGACAAAAATGTTAAGAAAAATGCACGTTGTATATGTAATTTTAGAATACTTCCCTCTAAAGCCCGGTTCACTCAAGATATTCCCCCCTCCCCCCAAAAAAGCAATGTTGAAGTTTGGCCCGAACATTTTTGCTGCCTACTAAACAACATTGACCAGGGAGGGGTGGGGGAGGGGTCACCATGGTTCCAAATACGTAGGGTGGGTCTCCTGTGTGTGAGAAAGAGCAAAATTCTTAACACTTTTTGTCCAAGATTGTATTTAATACATTTTGGCGGATAATCCAAAAAGACCGTCGGAGGGGAAACTATTCCTACATTAAATTATTGTATTTGCCCCAGTGATTTGACGCCATTGTTCAGGACGACCAATTACCGCTAATTATGGTAAATAATCGGGAAAGTTATTGTTACGTCATTGGGGGGGTTACTTATAAGATCAACAAACATGGTTTTCCACGGCGTCATGGACGGTAGTTTAAAGGCATATATACTATATGCATTGAAAGATAAGCAGCACAAACCTCGGGAATTATCAGAAAAGCTTGGAGTTTCATTAGCAACAATCTTTAAAATTAAGAAGGACGATTTTGAAAGCTTAAAGACGAAAAAGATGAGAGCGAGCCCTGGACGACCTCTTATGATCGATACCAGAATGGAAAGATTATTAATCCGACAAGTCAAAATCCTTCGTCGCGAAAACCCAAACATCACTTGAGGTAAACTGGTTGAGGTGTGCGGATTGCATACAGGTCAAGTAAGCAATAAAACGGTGCGTCATGTTTTGAACAAGTATGGATTTGGGTACAGACAGAGGCTCAAAAAGGGGGTTCTTTCCTCGAACGATATTGTATGCAGATATCGCTTTGCTAAAACGATTCGCAAAGAAAGATCGAGAGACGTGTGGACTTCCAAAGTAAACTTTTGCTTAGACGGAGTGAGTTTCTATGACAAAAGAAAACCGGCGGGCCAGGCCAAAGCCCCACAAGGCCGAATATGGAGGACTAAAAAGGAGGGTCTGGCTGAGGGATGCACGTCTAGGGGAAGAAAGAGGGCAGTGCTGGAAGAGTTCTTAAGCTTTTAGTGGCTATTAGCTACAACAAAGGGGTTGTAGCTTGCCATCCATACGAAAAGCTAGATGGACAGTTTTTTGAAAATTTTGTTAAAGCCAATTTTGGTAGTTTCTTTAGAAAAGCCGACAAAGGGCTCTCCCGCCTTTGGCTTCAAGACGGTGATCCGAGCCAGAACGCCGCGGGAGTGAAGACGGCTTTAAGAAAACTTATAACAGAATTGTTATCCATCCCTCTCAGAAGTCCAGATTTAAATCCTATAGAGAATTTGTTTCATTCAGTAAGAAGTGACCTGAGCCAACAAACTTTGAGTAAAAATACTACTCGTGAAAACTACGACGAATTCCAAAGCCGTGTAATAACTACCTTTTTCAACTGACCTGCCAAATCGATTGATAAAATTATTGACTCGCTGAATGGTTGTATCGATTTAATCATTGAAAAGAAAAGGAACAGAATAAAATACTAGGCAGTTGTGAGCAGAAATGCCTATAATGGTAGACAATCAATACTTGTAAACAGAAGCTAAGATAAAAGGAATTACAGTCTTATGCAGTACAAAGCTGACGTCACTTCCGTTTGTCTACAACGTTAGTTCCGGTTTGTAAACCGTGTAATTTGGTGTCCATTTTGAGGGCGATTCTTAGGCTAAAACATTCCGTCAACCAAGGAAATTATGAGTCCTGGATATAGTACATAATAATCTGGACAAATTGAGCACATTGTTCTTAAAATGGCGATTTCCAAACGGTTTACAACGATTTACTAGCGGTCTTTGAGGAATAATTGAGTGACAGTCTCATATTTCAATGTTTTAGATGTAAACTGTTGTATAGGACGTAACATGTGCTGTTCTTTTCATTCTGAGAAGACCTCTGTAATGGTAAGTTCTTGTTAACCGTTGGAAATAGTGAAATATATAGGAATAAATCTTTTCCAACGACAGAAAATTCTCAGATTGTTGTAAACCGTTGGGCGACATGACGGCACGCATGGAAATTATTTTTAGAAACCGCAAGTAAATAGACAGACCGCACTTGGTTCAATAGCAACTGTAGCCATGTTTCACAGGGAGAACAATCCGTGTCAGTGTCGTTCTCTGTTTCGGACGTATCGTAATTGCGTATCGAGTCCATAACGGCGTCTAAAGAGCAATGAACATTATAATTCTGTGACCATGACAACTACACCTTGTTGTCACTGTAACGTCAGTCTTGTATGCTCACCCTGCCCCGGAGCATTTACAACCCTGAGAGCGGGCCAAATAGAAATCAACATTCATTTTTGCATTCAAAAAAAAATTTATCTTTATTCTATTCCCCTGAAAAAACACTTTCTTTTCACTTCAAATGTTTACTTTGGCGCATACCGTTCAATATCCCGAAAATAAAATCTTGGACAAAAATGTTAAGAAAAATGCACGTTGTATATGTAATTTTAGAATACTTCCCTCTAAAGCCCGGTTCACTCAAGATATTCCCCCCTCCCCCCAAAAAAGCAATGTTGAAGTGTGGCCCGAACATTTTTGCTGCCTACTAAACAACATTGACCAGGGAGGGGTGGGGGAGGGGTCACCATGGTTCCAAATACGTAGGGTGGGTCTCCTGTGTGTGAGAAAGAGCAAAATTCTTAACACTTTTTGTCCAAGATTGTACCTTGGGCGAGTCAACGTTTCATACATTTCCTTACAAAAAGTGACGAACTGTTGACATTGGCTCGGGTAGAATGGTGATTCCCAGAGCATAGTCACCCTTTTGGGATATTAGGTGATCCTCCTAGCTGGGTCAGGGTTTCTGCTATAAACACCTTGGCCTTAGCCCAGCTGGGTCACCTTTTTGGTCAAGGCGAAACAATCATGGGGTGCGAGAGGGCTGTTTTTGTCAGTTAGTACGTACATGCGTGAGCACTTTTGGCTCGGGCAAATGGTCAACATTTGTCTTATAAGTATTAACGCCCTCTAAAGTTGACTCGGCTTACAGGGTAACCCTTCTACATGTTACATGTTTTGTTTTGTTTTTGTTTTTGTTTTTGTTTTTTTTTTCATATAAAAGGCGCCTTTCGTAAACTTTCAAAAAACTAAGTAACTCTTATAGGTTATCCCTTAAAGGGGTGACCCTTTGTACACACATATGGCACCTGCAGAATTGGAATAAGCGATAGCTAACAAAAAGTGTGTCGCCTATAAAAATTCGCATTCACCCCTACTTACTTCGATCTACCAAACTGATTTAAAAAGGGTCGGAATTGTAGGGCAGCATATGGGTAGATTTTGTTGTGAAAAACTTTACAAAGAATGTGAGTCAACTTGAGCTACATTCTTTGTAATTATAATGATGATAGATGCGGTTACACGGGACACTTTTACCGAGGGAATTTGGTGAAGTGCGTGTGACCGGACTTTCCCGAGATTAAATTTACCATGGAAAATATCCACGGATGCGTCAAAAGGAAGAAAGAAACCGCCTATGATATCTAACGAGGTAAATAGCTGGGGTGTTTCGATACCCAAGGTACAAGAACCAATCAGGATTCCTTATTAGACACCAACATGAAACTACGATACAAATTGAAATGGGCTGGACTGTAACTCGAATGTAAGGCCTTGATTAAAAAAAATTTTGTATATAACTTCACTAATCTTTGAGG